GTATGTTGTGATTCCCTTAGTGGTGTCATGTGAACGTCAACTACATGGCACTTCACCATCTTTGGGCCTAATGGAATGCATTGTGGAGTAGTTATTAGATGATGGGTTTCTAGAGTGACAGAAGCTTAAACCCTAGTTTATGCGCTACTTCATAAGGGACCGATTTGGATCCAAATGTTTAATGCTATGGTTAGATTTTATCTTAATACTTTTCTCTTAGTTGTGGATCCTTGCGAGGGGGTTAATCATAAGTGGGAGGCTTGTTCAAGTAAGAACAGCACCCAAGCACCGGTACACCCACATATCAAATTATCAAAGTAGCGAACGTGAATCAAACCAACATGATGAAAGTGACTAGATGAAATTCCCGTGTACCCTCAAGAACGCTTTGCTTATTATAAGAGACCTTTTGGCATGTCCTTTGCCACAAAAGGATTGGGCTACCTTGCTGCACTTTATTTATCGTTATCATTACTTGTCTGTTACAAAATATCTTGCTATCAAACTACTCGTTACCGACTATTTCAGTGCTTGCAGAAAATACCTTTCTGAAAACCACTTGTCATTTCCTTCTGCTCCTTGTTGGGTTCGACACTCTTACTTATCGAAAGGACTACGATTGATCCCCTATACTTGTGGGTCATCAGTGCATGGTGGGCCCCACGGGCCTTCCCTCGTGCACTTCCTTGACTCCCAAGTTGTCTTCTGGGCAGAAAAAATCTCCCAAAAATTTCGCTGCGTTTGGACTTACTTTGGTACTGATATTCTGCGAAGCAAAAAACAGCAATTGGCACTGGGCACTATGTCAATAGGTTAATCCCAAAAATGATATAAAGTTGCTATAAAATGAATGTAAAACATCCAAGAATGATAATATAATAGGATGGAACGATCAAAAATTATAGATACGTTGGAGACGTATCAATCACGAACATAGTTCTCAGCCATCAAGCCATACTTTGTAATCATGTATCACATTCGGCATATATTGTAAGAAATATTATCAACCAATCAATCAATCTTCATGATGTGTTCTTCAATGAGTTCTTCATGCGATCCGATCTCCATGTGTGAGTAGTTCAGTAAGGTCATGGGTTCAGGAAAGGCCTTGCAACCCGATGTATTTATTGGATGAATTGAAGGAAATACTTTAATTAACGTCTCGTATGTGTAGCATAAAATTTCTTTGTAGTTGTCTCTTGTCTCATCTGCATTCTTCATCCCTGCAGGTACCCAGGATCTTGGAGACAGAACCACAGAGAGGCTAAGAGCAGGGAAACCGTGATGTCTTATTCTGAACACTGGTGACAGAAAGGTTTAGTACGATAACATGGATACTATCTTTGGGGATTCAAGAGGTGTAATCATTAGATACCCGATGCTTTTGTCTAATTACTGCTATCTTAATTATCAAGGGAACCCAGTGCGGCAGATAGGGCCTTCCGTTAGACAATTGTCTCTTGATGCAAGACGTGTGTCGGTCAAGACATAATTTGGACACATCCCCCACTTCGATACATAGCAAGCACATCTCGATGGATAACTTCCAGGGCACAAATTAATATCATGATGATCCCGACACAGATATATGGTTGTAAGCATAAGTCCTCAACCCATGCATGTTTTTATTATAATTGTTTCTAGTGTCAACTTGATTCCGATTCGGTCAAAATCTGGAATTTAATTCTCTTGCAAAAGCTTGTTAGAAACCCTTGCTTAAAGGGCACCATCCTCTCATGGGTTCGATAACTCAGGGTCACCTCTCGGGAAAAGGTAAGAATCATTTTTGCTCCTTTACCAGATCACTAAAGGGACTAATCTCGTGGCTAATCCTCATGTCGGTTGGGGATCTATAGCCACAAGAAAGCTTTTATGCGAAAAAAATCTCCTTGAAATTTCAGCCTGATCAGAGTTACGGATCTCTGGCAATAAAAGAAATGCTCGGGCTCAGAAAAGTAGTGAAAGCAGAGAGAAACAGAGGGAGATTAGATTCAATCTTGGAGGGGCTCTCACCCTCCGGGGGCCATGGAGGCCAAGGACCAGAGGGGAAAACTCCCACCATCTAGGGGAGAGGTTAATGAAGAAGAATAAGAGGGGGTCTCTCTCCCCCTCTCTCCCGATGGCGCTAGAGTGCCGCCAAGGGAACCATCATGCATCATCGCGATCATCTTCATCAACTTCGTCGTCTACATCAACTCACCTTCCTCCCTCTCTATTCAGTGATCCACTCTCCCGCAACCAGCTGTAATCCCCTACCTGGACATGTTTTTTAATGTTATGCATTATTATCATATGATTTGTGTCATCGCTATTATGTCCGAGTAAATTATTTTTGTCATATGGGTTAATTGGTGAATTGCTATGATTGTTTTGATTTGCATGTGGTTATGTTATTGTCCTATGGTGGCCATCATATGATTGCACACGTGGATCACACCTTAGGGTTAGTAGTAGGTTGATAGGGCTATGCATAGGCCGGCCGGAGTGGCAGCTATTACCGAGGCCGAGTCTAGAAATTGATGCATATGGGATTGAAGGGAGAAAAGTATACCTTAATGCTACGGTTGAGTTTACCTTAATGAATGTGTTACCATTCGCGGATGCTTGCTAATAGTTCCAACCAAAAGTACATATGTTCCCAGTATGGATAATATTATAGCAGTGGTCCCTCCCTCATATAAAACTACAATGGTAATAATCGGTCTAGTAACTAAGCTAATTGCCTAGGGCCAATTCCGCACATCCTACCACCGCTTTTTCCACTCACTATCTTTATTTTATTGCATTTTTATTTAAACAGCACCTAACTTTTATTTATAAGTTCTTTATTATCTTGCAAACCTATCTTTTCATACTTGCAAAGTACTTATAGTTTTATTTAATAGTAAAGCAAAGGTTCGGCGTACGTAAGTTGTATCAGCGGCAGATAGGACCTGAGATAATACCAATCCTATCTTTAGCTCCTTGTGGGTTTGACACTCCATACTTATCACCTCCATCATTGGAAAGAGCTACGACAGTTCCTTGCACTTGGGGATTACCAGCCATCAAGGCATAGAGGATATTCGGCATGTTATCTGTCAATGTACTCATGCTCAGGAATTATGGAACCGCCTAGGTATTTCAGGTCTCATTGATTCGGCGATCCCGGTGTGTAGGTCCGATTCGGTAATTTTTGAACATATTCTTCATTTGATGATGAACAACTGAGTTTATAACCACGTCTGAATGTCAAGCAAGTTCTATCTGTTAAGAGTTGATATCTATGTTGGATTCCATGCCAAGTTACACACAATGACCCCCCCCCCCCCTATTGGCTATGGCCAATTTCAATGTTTTCTATTGCGAGCAACTTCCAGAAGACACTTTCCCAGGTCTCTTGAGCATAATTTGAAATGGTGTAAGCCTGATCCAAGGTTCATTGAACTGAATGTGGATGTTGCATTCTTTCTAGATGAAGGAGTGGGCGTAACTGCTACTATCTTACAAGATGATAGAGGTAATTTCTTGGATACTCAACGCAAGTTTATGCCATATGATGCTGACATAATTACCACAAAAGCAATTAATGGCTATGAGCGATGGTCCGGAACTTGCTCCCTTGGCTTCAACCGGATAGAGGCGAAATCTGACTCTCTTCAAGTGATTAATTTTTGCACTGTGCAAACAAGATGGTGGGATGCGGCAATGGCAATTTTCACAGAGTGTGTGGATGCAACTACAATGATTGGGAAGATCATATTTAACCACTGTTTTCGTACAACTAATGAAGCGGCTCATGTGCTAGCAAACTATAGTTCCTTTTTCTGGAAGTTGCTAGGAAACTATAGTTATTGTAAGAAATCTTTTTTTACTTAGTTGGATGAGCCTCCTGACTTTGTTGTCAGCAGACTCACAGACAATGTAATATTATTTTGATATTAATAAAGCTAGCCATGAAGACATTCCGTAAAAATATAGACACTCCCTTCATTCCAATGAATAAGGCGTGCACGTTTCCTAAAATTCAACTTTGACCATAAATTACGTCAATAATATGTATTTTTGTGACTTAAAAATATACTATTGAAAACTTTGTTTCAATACGAATTAAATGGTATACTTTTTACTACATATAACCCACATTTGATTGGTCAATTTATGATCAAAGTTGAATTTCGGGATGGGTTTGCATCTTATTCATTGGAATGGAGGTAGTAGAAGATAGATAGTACTCCTAGTAGATAGATGTTTAAATGAACGTAATAGGTTAAAGTGAACGTCCTCAAGCAAAACTAGCATGCTTGCCCAATAAACGGCGTCAAGACTGCACCCTGTATGCACACAAGAATAAATGTTGTTGGTGACCGGCCCGTGACAGGTTGAAAGACCTTTTTTTTTTGAAATGCAGGTTGAAAGGCCTTGACCGCGCGCGGAATGCCAGTAACCATCCGTACAGTTCACCACAAACACCAGCTAACCGCATATAGATATGAGAGAGACGTGCACGTAGCTAGTAGCTGAATTCAGAGTCTTGCAAGCTGAGCACTAGTTTGAGAGTGTCAAAGAGTATTTAATACTACCTCCTACCTAAAATAAGTGTCTCAAATTTGTATTAAACTTAATGTAAAGTTATACACTAAACTTGAGACATTTATTTTAGGACGGAGGGAGTATTTTAACAAAGCGATCAAATTTGACCAAGCTACTAGCTAGTGCCAAAGTCAGTGTCATCTTCCCTATCCCTTTCCAGTGTACAATCGACGTTAATACCATATCTTTCATGGTGTAAACATGCAGGTACCATGGCATAACGATCGTCAACAGATCATCAACGATCCAGCACAGTCTCTCCTCTGGGCCGGATTAGCGCGCATTAACACTTTTAGTTGGCAGTTAGCAGAAGAGACGTGAAGCACAGACAAGGATGTGGTTCTTCTTCAAATTAAAATCGGAGCTGACTATTATAGCACACACGGCGCACCCCTGGAGTGACTGGACAAACAAATTAAGCAGCAAAAATGGAGGCCACCACCCTGCGGAAGCGGCCGCTCTCGATCAAGACGGCCGCCGGACGCGAAGGGCGGACGGCGGCGGAAGCAGAGCTGGGGGAGCCGGTCAGCCCCTCCGCGAGGCTCGTGGAGGACTTCTACATCATCGTCCTCATGGGCGCCTCCACGCCCCTCAACCTCCCCGCCCTCCGCGCCGGCATCGAGGCCCAGCTCGCACGCTACCCGCACTTCCGCAGCATCCAGGTACGTAGCCTTCCATCGCAGCATCGCCATGCATGCATATGCATGCCTCTCCAGTCTCCATCCACGTACGCCAGGACACAAGTTTCTTTTTTTCTAAGTGATTCGATATGGTCGCCGGTGCAGGTAACGGTCAAGGACGGCGAGCTGCGGTGGGCGCCGACGACGGTGAACGTGGAAAACCACCTGATCCGCCCGACGCTGGACCCGGCCGCCGTGGCGGCCAACCCGGACAAGGCCGTGGAGGACTACGTGGCGTCCCTGTCGACGCTGCCCATGGACCGGTCCCAGCCGCTGTGGGAGTTCCACCTCTTCGACTTCCCGACCTCCGAGGCGACCTCCACCGCCGCGATCCGCGTGCACCACTCCCTCGGGGACGGCATGTCTCTGCTCACGCTCCTCATGGCCTGCACGCGCAGCGCCGCCGACCCGACCAGGCTGCCGGCCATGCCGCCGCTGCCATCGCGCACGGGCGCCATCTACCAGCGACCGCGCCCTTCGGCGGGCGTCCTGGCGTACCTCCTCTGGGTCTGGTCCTTCGTCGTGCTCGCCTGGCACACCGTGGTGGACGTCGTCGGCTTCTTCGCGACCATACTGTTCTTGAAGGATCCGCACACGCTGTTCAAGCGGGTGAACCACGCGGAGACGCAGCGCAAGCGCATCGTGCACCGGAGGCTTAGCCTCGACGACGTCAAGTTCGTCAAGAACGCCATGAAATGCGTAAGAGCCTTTGTTTTCTCATTTTCCTTGAGATGCTCTATGCAATATTCTGAGTGGCATGTTGAAATGTTCAGTATTCTTTAACATGCATGGCCTTAGACCTCACGACTGTTAGCTAAAACTATTTTGTAAAAATATGGTATGAATTTTGCGTACTCTCTTGAAAAATAAAGGCAATTTCCAATGAATAGTAGCACCAGCATTTTAAGATACATCAACCCCTGGATTTAAGAACTAAACTACACGGTGCGTATGTTCTTCATTTGTTGTAGCTAAACTTCTTTCATCTCCTATATCCAAATAGTTAGCCTCATTACTAGATTTTTCTACATATGTGAGCTTTCACGTCACCTCAATTATTGATAGATGTCCGGTCCAAATTGTCTCCATGCGTGCTTCATTTCCATGTGGTCATAAGTTACTTCTTTTGCATTAAACTATCGATGAACCATGTCACCATCCAAATCATGCATGTATTCTTTTTAAGCCATGTATGTATTCATTTACATTTTTGCATTAATCTATAAATTCAAACCATGACACCTCGTCAAGTCAATCACGTCTTCTTTTCGGGATAAGTTTTCCTTTTTTATATATATCATGTTGTCACATACTACTTAGGTTTTGTTGTTTCTAAAATGCAAAATAAGTAGACCTTTAATTTTTTTCATTAGTTTTAGTTGGCTTTAAAGAACCTATTTATGCATTTGTTTAACACGGTTTCCACGGCAACACGCCGCACTATATGAAAATATACATACAAACTTGTGTTTGACATCGCTTCTTTAGAGCAAGTATAACATGGATGTAGTAGATGGGTTATAAGAGATATCACATCGGATTTTTTTTTCTTTTAGTTAAAGGAGAGAGAAAAGAAGTGGGTTGTAGATTTTTAGTCAGTTCTAGCACGGGCTCCAACACCGTTTAAAAGAATAAAGTGTGCCACATATGAATGACATAGCATGCCAGCATGGCTAACTCTTGTATGAGTGAGCCATTAGATTAGCTATAAGTGACTTGGGAACCATATATAGCCGGTTGTTACATGTACTATTAACCTTATGAAGAAATCCAACCCATCTCTATCTGGTTAGTTGTCAAGCCGCATCAATGTTTGCGTATGCGCATGGCTTAGCACCAGTACAATGAGAAATCGTGTGCTCTAGGATCAAGCACCTTTTAGGAATTTGCGATTAAATGATTAATGGAAATTTTACTTTCCGTACCATCTATTGGTCCATTATATATTTGGCCCTTGAACTCCAATACAAGGCAATACTTAACCTTAAAATTTTAATACCCAGCAAAGTTGGTCCCTAATATTAGTCGAAACGGTGGGACCAATGATGGTGGTAGTCTCGCACGCGTTTAGTACAATTAGAATGATCGTGCGCAAGATATTTCATATTGAACTTTTTGGAGCAAATTTTAGAAATGGTCAATAGTTGAAAGATCACAAATCAGCATTTTGCTTTCCACTGCTTGTTTAGGGCATGTACAATGGTGCTATCTTAGGAGTGCCACGTAGAATAAATGATGAGGTGGAGGAGAGAGAACTCATAAAAAAAGGTTTGTCTTCTTTTATTTAAGATAAGACAAGAGATGATATCTTAGCACAATATATGTCACCATGTTTTTAAGAATAACTAGTTATGAAGATAAGGCTAAAAAATGACCCATTGTATACAGCTTTTTTTGTCATCTCTTAATTAGATGCAAGACCTAAGATAAGACTATCTTATCAACCATTGTACATGCCCTTGGTTCAGTTTGAAGCGAAACAAAACAGCATTGCTTTGTTTTTTCTTCCTGTTATTTTATCTCATTTTTTGCGAATGTGTTATTTATCTATTCAATGCGTGGTTGACCTGTTGCTTGCAAGGAGCAGAACTAACATAGAAAGGAGTACTACATTTTTGTCCTTGTTTGGTGCAGACAGTTAACGATGTGTTGATTGGAGTCACATACGCTGCCCTGTCGCGCTATCACTTCCGAAAGTCGGGTGGTACAAGCTGATTTATTGCTGGTTCCTGCCAGAATAGCTACGGCCCAGCTAACTGTGGCGTTGCTTGTCCCATCCTTTTTATCAGGTGAAACCGACACTCGCAAAGAGATACGCGTGCGCTCAATGCTTCTCGTCAACTTAAGGCCGACCACAAGCCTACACGTAAGACAACAATCTGTCGGTGCATGCTTTTTGAGCATTAACCATGGTCAACATTTCGTTCAACAATTACACAGTTAATGCAGTTTGAAAGTGCTTTCATATACCAATTCGGTGGAGTAGCAAAACTTAATGTAAATGGCATCAATTTTCCATCATGGAGTTTATTTTTCTGACGAACATTTGGTGAAAATGTATCTTGAAAGTTAAAGGCACTGGGGTCGTAAGGATCGCCAAAGATCGAATACACATGAAATCTGTATTTCTTTTTTTGGGGACAAAATGAATTCGGTACTTCCGTAATAAAGCTGAAGGATAGTATGGTTTCTTGCTACCCGTGAGCAGGCATGTGTTGATATGATAAAGTCGGGCAAAGAAAGCCACGTGAAATGGGGAAATGAACTTGGGTTCATCATCCTTCCGTTCTTCATCGGCATGCACAGCGACCCGCTCGACTACGTTCGCAAGGGGAAGAAGGTTGTGGACAGGAAGAAGAGCTCACTGGAGGTGGTATTCACACATGTCGCCGCAGAAGTGATCTTCAAAGTGTTTGGACTGAAGGTAACATTTTGGTCCTTTGTATCACAGTGCTAAGTGCTAAACATTTAGCTATCCAAGAGAAATGCTGGGCGGCTAATTCTCAGAGTACAAGACCAGTGCCTCTTAACTATCCTGTTTTCTAAAGGGGCCGCTGGCCGCTGCACTCATATTTTGAGCCATTTTGAGTTCTTGTTTCTAACGGCGTTGCCACATCTGTCGCGAACAGGCAGCTTCGGCTATCTTCCATCGTATGATCTCCCATACCACCATATCGTTCGCCAACATGACTGGCCCGGTTGAACAGGTGGAGTTTTGTGGGCATCCAATCGTCTTCATCGCCCCTAGCGGCTATGGACCGCCAGAAGTAAGTCCTCCAAAAATATGACTCTGCACTACAGCTAAATAAATCAATGGACATGTTAGTGCCCTGTGTGCACCAGGGTTAAATAAATTAGTTAACATGTCAGTGCCCTACATCATCATATCTCGTCAAGTATTTCCTTGATTAGATGAGCATCGCTGTCACAAGTTGATTACTAAAACAACGTAAATTTTCTACACCAAAAAAAACATACCATGAACTCCCGAATGAAAGGTAACTATGCCCAAGTACAGGTAGGGGTGTTCAAACGCAGGTTTGGTAATCCGTTGAACCAGTACAGGCAAGCAGCGAGGCCATGAGGGTGTTGGGGTCCATACCTCAAAACAGTTACAAGCGAGCGGTTAGGGCCATACATAATGGTTTTACACGGTTGGCCAACCCGCACTTGAACAACCCTGGGTATAGAACTTCTATACCCAGGTATTTATAAGTGTGTGCTGAATTAGTGATGAATAATCAATTTAGCAGGTCGAAGTGTTTTATGGTATAGAGTTTGTGTTAATTCGTAATTAATTGTTTGGTTTGCTTGTGTAGGCCCTAACCGTGAATTATCAAAGCTATGTCAACACCATCATGATAAATCTAGCACTGGATGAGGGACACTTTCCTGACTATGATGAACTTTTGGATGACTTTGTTGAATCCCTTGAGGATATTAAGGATGCAGCTTCACGCCTTGGAATGCATCATGGGAAGGCCTAAAGCTATTTGCATCAGTGCAACATATTCATGATTTCGCTACTGTGCCATTCAATATAACTGATGGACTATACTCCCTTGGTCCAGAACTGTAAGGTGCATAATTAATTAATTATGCTTGCAGTCAACGTTTTAAAACATTGACCACCAGTACATGTAAAAGTACATGGAATGAGTATGCACGAATAATATTATTGTATTTGTCTTGCGAAATTCATTTCTGCTACATATCTTTCACATTTTAACACACATATTACTATAAAAAATTATAGTCAAAACTGTGCATTCGAGACTCTGAAAAGTCACCTGTCTTGCATTTCCAACTAAGGGAGTATGTTTGTGGCAACTAAACCTAGAAACTCAACCAGCACACATCGAGTGAGTATGGCTCAGGATTTCCAAGAGTGAACACTATAGTTAATTTTATCAAATTCCAAGAAAAGGAAAGGACAGACCCAGTGCATAGAAGCTCCCACACAAGGTGGGGTCTGGGGAGGGATTATAGGAACCTAGTCTTACCCCTGCAAAGTGCAATGCAGAGAGGCTGGTTCGAACCCAGGACCTCTTGGCACAAGTGGGGAGGACTTCACCACTGCGCCAGGCCTGCCCTCTTATCAAATTCTAAGAAAGTTGAATAAAAAAAGGTAGGTTGACTATGGACTCACCTTGTGTCATGCGCACAACAGAGACTAAACACCCACAATATTACTCATCTTCTTCAAAGTCCATAAGGAAATCAGTAAGGTTCTCGGACTCATTAATAGCGTCTTTAAGTGACATCTGATCTTTCTTTAACTTTTCCTGGAAAGACAAAAAGAAGCATTATCTGGAATAGAAGTTGCCACAGTTGTGTACGGCGTACTCTGAACACGTATCACCATATAATGATATAAATAGTAAAAAGACTCAAAATTTCCATTAATTTACACACAAAAAGAAACTAAAACACACAATTAGGTAAGACATCCAATATGACCAACAAGAATTTCATTGCCTCAGTGTTACTACGTGCCAAAAGACATAATCAATAATAAAAATGTACCTTTGGTTTTTCGTCCTGCCCAGTAGTCTTTAGAACACTCCAGTTTTGACTCACTTTCCCTTCAACTTCCACAGCCTCATCCCCGCCATCTTCCTCATCCTATAGATAAAGTAGAGATTTCAAGAAATTATCAACTTTGAATAGGAGAAGTATTGATACGACATCTCATCCCACTTATTCGGTGCCCCAGTGTTACAAAAAAACTCAACATCCAGCTCCCCACAAGCATATAGCAAACTGGCTATTTTTCTATTGTTGGGGTTGCACATAATAAAAGAACCCATCCAATATTACAACTACAACTGCACAGTATCTATGTTCCAACCAGTAAAATAGTTCAGTAATATACCTCTAGTGACTCGGGCAGTGTGACAGCTTTGTCAACCTCCTCCTCATCATCACTATCTTCATTGAACTTTCGAAAAGTAGAGAATATCATTGTCAAATGATAAACATTTGATAAACATTTTTAATGTATAAGATATTTAACATATTAGCATAGTTCACATAATTATTTTGTTTTCCTGTAAGATATGCACCGAGGCATTTTTATGGAAAAAAACAAGCACTTCGAATGGACACTCACAGAATGCTCTCCAATATCAACAGCAGTAGCCATGGGATCTTTGACTTCAGGAATGTACTGTCAGCATGGCATAAGATGGATAAGTTAAAGAGAAATTAAAAGACCTATGATATGCAATTAGTTGTAGCCGAATCAGTGGTGCAGTTTAAGGTGTACCGTGATGTCTTGATTGATGTCTTCTTCCTCTTCCATCAAACGTGCATCCAGTTCTTCCTTCGTGATCATTATCCCATGCTGAAAGGAGAAAGTGCAATACATAAACTTATGATACAATTACTCCTATTAGCGACACATGTCACACGATTAACATTTTTAGTGTTGTGTTATATAGTACTAAAGACCCTTAGAAAGTTCATTCATATTTATGGTGTTATGGATCTCCAAAACAGCTAAAAACCATGAATCTAGTAAACCTTAGCTGGCACAGTGTAAAATGCTTTATGTGGGACTGCTGCCCCGTACCTCCATCAAATAAGGTACAACTTCAGGGGTAGGCTCATGAAATTCCGGACTCCTGTAGTCAATCACTTCATCAGGATCCTGAACATAGTTCACAGTCGGGTAAACAGGATCACCACCCCAAACTGCATATTTGAATGTCACGGGATTAAGTCCAAGTTGTTATATACCCAAATATAGTTGCATAAGTTTAAACAAGTCAGACAATTACTTTATTTTATTCTAAGAGTAACATGGTAGCTTCCCTTATTGGATTACACATTATGCAGAGCATATACTGATAATTCAGATGTAACAAAATAAAAATGGTTCAAAAATATTTAAATGCAGAAGTGGCATGTGAATGATGAAACTAAAGAGAAATAATAAGTCACATTGTGTTCAACTCCAACGAGTCCTTTTCCTAGATCAACCCGGTAAGTAGGCAGGAGATAACAATGGTTTCTGCCTTTTGCATTAAGTTCCAGAAATGCATGTTTAAAGCAGTGAATAGAACTATATAAAATTACCAAGCAGCTTCTTCATTGAATACATTCTAAGGCACATGGCACCAGCTCTTGAAACTTAGCTCAAACTAAGTTATGTAGGAAAAAAAATGTAGATCACCCCTAAGGTTTGGGGCCAAGTCAGCACAACTCCCTGAGCTTTAAAACCGTCTAAGAGCATGCTTGGATACGTTTTAGTCCCATGACTAAAAGTAGTGGGACTAAAACTTGCTAGTCTCACCCATGCTTGAATCCAAATACTAAAGAGACTAAAATCTAGTTATTGAGCATTTATTATCCTCCAAACCCTCCAATCCAGAACTAAGGAGAGGAATTAAATGAGGAGAGAGAGAGCTAATACATATTTTAGTAGGTTTCCCATGACTAAAAGATTTTAGCCTCAAGACTAGTCCTAGCCTCTCTTTAGTCAGGGGTGCTTGGAACTTTAGCCTCTAAAAAAGACTATTTTTAGTCAGACTAAAAATAGTCCCTTGTATCCAAGCACCCTCTAAGCAACCCCTCAGTGTAGTAAATGCTGTTTAAATACACCCCACCACCCCCCCCCCTCCCCCGATGCTTTTGAACAATATTGGGTACTTTAAAGCTCGGGGGGTTGTGTTGACTTGGCCCCGAACCTCTAGACTTTGCAAGATTATTAGAAAAGCTAATGTAAGATGAACTGCACATAACTATTCAGCAAAAGCAGCTTCTGGATGTCAGCAAGATGAATCAATCAAAATTTGGGCAAAAAAAAACAATACTCTGTTTAATCTGGTCTTCACGCATCCTCATTGCCAAAGGATCTCGTTGTATACGAACATCAGTGCCCATCATGATACGATATTCCCCAGCAGTTTGGTGTTGAAACATTGTTATAAGTTGAGTATTTGCATCTTCACCAGTCTCCTCAAAGTGCTTCTGAATGGCTTCCCATGATGTGTCCTTTTGCTTATATGCTTCTACCCATTCTGAATAGTATGCTATTGGTCCTATTTCTTCTAGTCTCCTCTGTTCTGCTTCTAACCTGTGTTTATTGCATACAAATATAAGAGCCACTGCTAAACAAGATAGTAATTTAGTCCTTACAAGTTACAAGCATACACTGACAATGCCATGCTGAAAAAACAGTTGTCGAGAAGTATTTTTGTAATGCACACCATAGATAGATTTATAACTAGAACAGTACAAGCTTTGGTCAAACAGAAAAAATATGCCAGTGACGCATAAACCCGTGGGTATTGGACCTATATAATGTTCCACCACATATTTGTTATGATGCAACGTAAACAGATTGAAAATGGAAGATGTGTTTAAATTAATGTTTCAGAATATGGCGGAAAAATGTGCTATATAATGCTAATGGTATTTCAAGTATTGAGAACAAAAATAAAGATTCAACATAAACAGAAAGGTGTGCACAACTGCACGTGTGCAATGAAAGGGTCCAATAAAGCTGCAGCATATACTTATGAGCAAAAACCATTGTGGTATTTAGTCAACCTTTCCTCTTTGTGTAAATGTCTTCTTGTCTTGGCAAGAGCAGCTTCTGTTCTTGTAGGGTGATCTCCAAATATTTTAATCTGCCCAGTTTCGGCCATTGCCTTTGCAAAGACCTAAAAACAACAAAACAAGCATTACAATGTGGATCAAAATTGAAGCATATCATGGAGCTGGATGTGTCATAAAAACTAATTTGAACTAGGGCAAAAATAAAAATAAAAAACTGAATCAGGCACATAACACTAACTCGTAAACTGTACAACGAGATAATGCTTGCATGCCACAGTGCAAGCAATGCACGCACATTATCAGTAGTGGAGTTATAAGGGATGTGAGGGTCTCAGGGTCATTTGATATTTTAACACTCCTACCCATACGCAAAATGTTGGCTTTGTCATTGTCTACACCACTCTGTTCACATTTACATTACACTCTAGAAGATGCATTGGAAAAGCATGACAAGCTAGCTTGAACCTGACAATGATTCACACATACAGAATGGCAGAAGGACACAGAGGCATCGTTGTGCCCTAGTACAACTAGTGCCTGTGCTACCTGGACTAGGCACAAAAAAACTAGGATAGTAAACCGACATAATTGCGGTGCGGTAGAAAATGTGAATCTCTGCTGTGTAATTATATTCTACTAATTGGCCATGTTGACAAAAGGTAGACAGCCACAATAAAAACTATCACAAGCCATCATTATAAGTGCGGGCAATTGAGAACTAACCGTGTCAACATCTGGGCGCCTCCTCTGCCACCTTGACCACATTTCTGCCTCGGACTTCCTCCTCCAATTCCACCAGAGCTCCTCGCTCGATTTCGGTTCCTCTGCCAACATCGCCTTTGCTGGGTCAACAAATGGGTGTGGCCGCCCCATCATCTTGTCCATCTCATACTCGCTCAAACTCTCCTCCTTGGGCGCCTCGTAAATGACATATTCATTCAGCGAATCATTTGTTTCCTCCAATGTATCATCTAGTGGAACCTCAGTGGCCACAATGAACTCGCCGTCATCTCCACTGGTCTCCGCACCGCCCGCCGCTGATGCAGACGCTACCTGCCCCTTGTACCCTTTCCTCCTACTCCCGGGTTTCTTGCCAAGAGACGGAGTCCCGGCCGACTCCCCGACCGGTGCAGGTGCACGGGCAGCACGGACGCGGGCTGCAGTGCCCTCCGGCCAGTACTCCTGCCCAGGTATGCTTGCCCGGGCACCTGACGCTGGCTCGAGCTGACCAGATGTGGAGTCGAAATAACTGGAGTACGGTGGCGCTTCGATCTTCGACGGATCAAAATGGATAGACTCGTCCTTGACGCACCTGATCGTGCATCTCCGCGTTCTGGTCGGCGCGACTGACCCTGCCTTTCTCCGCTGACGCAAACTAGCAAACACCTTCTGCGCAAGCACCGAGAACCTAAATTTTAGCACAGACAGCAACTGGACGCAGTCAATTTTCGACAATTTGGAGCTTCAAAGGCAGGTAATTACCGAGGACTTGCAGAAGCTCGGAACCGGCACGGCGGTGGAGGCAGCCGGCGGCGGCGACATGCCTGCAGAGTGCTCGACGGAAAGCGGGGGTTAGCGGGGAGGTCAAATTCTCTGGTCCGCGCGCGGAGCAGGACGGGGGTTTGAAGCTTGAAATGAGGAACATGACGATACCTGGGAAGAGCCAAGGGTGGGAGCAAGACGCCATGGTTCTTCGCCCGACGCTGCGGTCGGTGGTGACCGCGGGGCTCGAAGTCGAGGAGGATGATGAAGAAGCTGGAGGAGGGGGGTTCGAGAAGCGGCGAGGGGGGTAGAGTTATCTGGATTTTAGGTGCTGGGAAGCTGGGACTGGGAGTGGGTAGAGCTAGCCGTGTGTTCCATGGTTGGGCTGGCTCCGTACCAAGGTTTTTCGTTCAGGATAACGAACAAGAAGAAAGGGGTAGAGGTAAATACACCACGAGTCATGAAACTAGTACGCGACGGTCAGTTTGATACATAAACTTGTAAAATACGGGTTTTTATCATCTAACTTGTTCCTCCGTTCATATACGGTGTTTTCTACCGTATTCAGCCGTATCATGTGCATACATGGCGTGCCAATGTGGCAGTGACCCACTGTCAGTAATGGGTAATCCGTGTGTATGTTTTTTCTTCAAAAAGCACCCTTGCATTTTATTTATTTATGCAAAAAAATCCTCATATCAAATGAAAAGCGCCGAACAGACAATGGGGTTCGAACAGAAGACCTGCTACAAATCGCGTACCACTTGATTGACATATTGTTCATGTTCATAAAGCACAATTAGCTTTATATAAGACAGACTGTACAAGTTAAAATATAAAACCAAAACGAGAAAAGGGGAACCTATGACCACATAAGCTCGCCGAGTGTGCGAGCACCAACCATCCGGCCACAATGAGTTAAAAAAAAGTCAGCCACAATGACATTTAAATAGATAAACACAATTTATCTTATGTATTCTTCTTTCTTATTTCTATTTAAGAAAATTACTTATATTCTAGATAAACATTTTGGACAAATCAACTAGATTTTAGTTTGAATTCATGTAATTTTAAATTAAAAAATCTAGAGAAAACCAAATATAGTGCAGAATGAGTGTCCGTAATTTTTATAGACAAACCAACTAAAATTTTGTATGAATTTGAGTAATTTTAAATTAAAATTTTAGACAAAAAATATAGTGCAGAATGTATGTACGTAAATTCTTTTGCACAAATCAACGAAAATTTTGTTTGAATTCGAAAATTTAGATAAAAGAAACTATAGGTGAGAATGAATGCACGCAATTATTGTTGGACAACTGAACTAATTTTCTGATTGAATTTGAATAATCTAGATAAAAGAAAATATAGTTCATAATGAATATGCGTCAATTTCTTTCGGACAAATCAACAGAATTTATTATAAATTCAAAAATCTAGATAAAAAATTATATGTAAAATGTAATGTACATGAACTTTTCAGAGAAATCAACTAAATATTTGTTTGAATTCAAATAATTTAAAATTTAAAAATATGGATAAATGTTAATATAGTGCACAATGAATGTACACATTTTCTTGGGACAAATCAACAAAATTTTGTTTGAATTCGAATAATTTAAAGTCTGAAAATCTAGAGAAAAGGAAATATGGGTCAGAATGAATGTAAGTAATTTTTTCAGACAAATCATCTAATTTTTGCTTGAATTTGAATAATCTATATAAAGGAAATATAGTTCATAATGAATGTATGTAAATTTCTTTCGAACAAATCAATGAAAATTCTGTTTGATTTTGAAAAAATTTAAATCAGAAAATCTAGATAAAAGAAAATATAAATCCGAATGAATTTACATAGTTTTTAATGGAAAAATCAAATAAATTTTTGTTTCAATTCGGATAATTTAAAATTAAAAATCTAGATAAAAGAAGATGTCGTGCTGAGGAATGTACATGTTTTTGTTTCGAACAAATCAGCGGAATTTTTCTTTTTTTTCGCGAATACGCAAAAGTGCGTATCATTTCATTGATAG